ACTCTAATGCAGAGTGCACAGGGCAACTCCTGCAACTGCTACCTTGGCTCTGCAGGACAGAACAAGTGACATACCACCGCCTAGGGCTCTGTTGGTTTGGTGAAGCACAGAGGGAGGGATGAGGGAGGGGAGGGCAGAAGACAGTTGCCACCCCCACTTGGTGGACCCTTCAGCCTGAGTGCAGTGGAGTCCCAAGGAGCTGAGGGAGCAGGACAGGATGAGGGCTGAGGAGCATGTGAGCCGCCCTAGTATAGGAGCCCTGGGCTGCTGGGCCTCCTGGTGCCAAACGGGAAGGGCCCTGTGAACTGAGTCCCACCAAGGGCAGGCATGGCACAGCAACCCAATTAACAGGAGCATTAGAAGTGAGCCCTTCTGGGGGAGAGGTCTCCTGGGCAGAGAGGCCAGGGTGTGTGCTCGGGAGCCAGCCACCTGCAGATCGCACCCCACCCCAGCCTCTGAGCCGGGCCCACCTGGACAGTGCCTCAGCTTAGCAGCCCCTGCTTCCCAGGCTGTAGCTGGGGGGCCTGGAAGGTGGGGGAGTGGTGGGCACACTGTGCCACCAGAAGGAAAGAGCACAGGGACTCCTGGAACCTTGCCAGGGAGTGCCTCTTCAAGTGACAGGGCACCTGCATGTTCTGTCGATATCTCGGGTAATGCAGAGTGCCAGGTGGCAGAGGAGCCAGGAGGGGCACGGTCTTGGCTGGGTCCCTTTCTGCATCGCCATGTCTGCCTGGGTGAGGCTTCATGAGCAGAAGAGGCTGTCCTTGAGACCACAGGATGTCACACATCTGGGAGCGCCCAGCCTGCACAGTCCAGCAGCCCTCACCCGATGACCAGGAGAATGGGACAGGGAACAGGGCACTCACAGCCCTGTCGTCCTCCCAGGCCATGGCGTCCCCCAGGATTGAGGCTGTCATCAGGGAGCGGTACAGGATGGGGGAGTGTCCCGTGTGGGAAGAGGAGACCAGGCAGCTGGTGTATGTGGACATCAACGCCAGGACTGTGTGCCGGTGGAACCCAACTCTGGGGAGGTGTAGGCCATAGGCCTGAATAAGTGGA